AGCTATGGAGCTCGGATTGAAGCGATTTTTGAGGCGATTTTCACCATATGGATTATGGTAAGTGTTCTATATCCTAAAGTGTTTATATTTCATGAATCTATGATTATATTCATCGTTTAATTCGGATTTTAATGGAAGAAATCAAGATTTTTGTAAAATCTTCCAAAAAAAAAATTTAAGATTTGGAGGTCGAGTTGTTATTGGAATTCGATAAATTTGGTATGGTTGAACTCGTATTGGAATGGATGTTCGAATTTCATGAAAATTATATCGGGTTCCGAGGGGCGGGTCCCGCATTGACTTTTATTGACTTTTTAGAATAAATTTTTAAGTCGACATATTATTATCCGGAATTATTTTCGACGAATTTTAATGGAGTTATACAATTAATTTGGATAGATTTGAGCTGTCCGAAGGTCAATTCAAGCAAGAAGGCTATTTTAAAATATCAGCCTAACTTCAAAAAGGTAAGTGTCTTGCTTAATCTCGAGTGGGGGAATTACCCCTTAGGCATTGAGTCTTATGTGCCATTTGTGAAATATAAAAAGCCGTGTACGCGAGGTGACGAGTACGTACTCGGGCTTATATATGCAAAATTCATTGAATTAAAGTCTTAGGCATTATTGTGTAGTAAATTAGAAAAATGTGTAAAACTATTAAATCATCTGTTTACCATGCCTAAATCCTTATTGTTGAATTTGTTTTTATATGATAATTTGATGTGATTGTTACTTGAAATATTTATAAAATTTCGTGAGTATTGTTGGTTTAATATTTCTTGGAAATTAATTCCAATATGAATTTTCTTATGCAAATAATTAATTTAAGCGAGCTTAAGAATAAGTGTTAATATAATTATCTAAATTTGCATTAATGAAGGTTTTGCTTTATGCTGAGTAATTTCTATCTCTATTGATTATTTTTGGGTGTTATATATATTGTGTGGAGCCTTGGGCTATTTGTTGTGAAATTAATTAATTTTTGTTATATCTTTGAAATTTGGTTGTGGTCATTGGGCAAATTGTTATATGAATTGATTTTATTATGTTGCCATGTTAATTTTTCGTGTAAATTACTGTGTTGTGTGAGTTATTATTTTGGTAAGATAAGGGTGACATTTCACCGTTGATATTATGTGGGTATAAGGGTGACATTTCACTGTTGTTGTGTTTGTTAGAATATTGTCTGGGCGGAGCGATAAGGGTGACTATAGGAGCGATAAGGGTGGCAATAGGAGCGATAAGGGTGGCTATTGATATTGTCTGGGCGGAGCGATAAGGGTGGCTATAGGAGTGATAAGGGTGGCAATAGGAGCAATAAGGGTGGCTATTGTCAGGGATGATATGTGATGATGTGGAGTTGTGGTGTTGATAATTTTCATGTGACGTTGTGATTTTCTTGTGTTTACTTTTATACCTTGTGCAATTTGTCTTGTTATTGGAAAATTGATAACAATCTGATTTATGTTGAAACTGAGAGCATGTGGCTATTGCCAGGCAGATTATAAATTGAAATGTGGGCACGAGGTGCCATGAGTAAATATTGAGGATATTTGGCACGTGAATTGTCCGTGCAGTTGTGATATAAAATGTGGGCACGAGGTGTTGTGATGAAATGATGATGATAATTGGCACGTGAATTGTCCGTGTAGTTATGATATGATTTAACTATGGGCACGAGGTGCCATAGAAATATAAAAATGGGTTGAGACCCGTGTTTACGAAAAATATGAAAATGGACTGAGACCCGTATTTTTTTTATGATTATGAAATGAGGTGTCATATGGTAATTTTTTAATTGAAAGAATTGTATTCAAAATATTTATTTGGAAGGATTTTTATTCAAAAAGAATTATATGAAAGAATTGTATTTGAAAGATAATTATTTGAGGAAATTATATTTGAAAAGATTTATTGAAAGAATTATATTTGAAAAATAATTATTTGAGAAAACTATATTTGAAAGAGAGTTATTTGGAAGAATTTTATGTGAAGAATATTTATTTGAAAAACTTGAATTAATTGGGCGCACATGTATTATTAATTGTTGAGTGATGTTTATGGTATTCTTGTTGTCTTGCTGCGCATGCCACTGGTTGTTTTATCCTGCTCTTATTGTTATCTGTTTCCTAGTATTTTATATATTATATAGCACAGATTATTAGACTAGTGAGTGTCTTGATTCTACCTCGTCTCTATTCCATTGAGGTTAGTCTTGATACTTACTGGGTACCGACCATGGCGTACTCATACTATATTTTTGTATATTTTTGTGCAGAGTCAGGTATTGAAGATAACGGATTTGAGCAGAGTTAAAGTAGGATCGTAAGGATTCAAAGTAGAGCTGCTTGGTCGTCGCAGTCCCTTGGAGTCTTTTCATTTCACTATACTGTTAACTTGTAATCAAACAATATTGTATATTCGGTTCTCGTGATCATTCTATGTATTCAGTTAGACTTCGTGACTCAGTACTACCAGTCTTGGGAGGTTGTATATTGTAATTATTTCCGTTGTTAGTTTCAAAAAAAATGGCTTCAAAAATGTAATGAAAATCGGCTTACCTAGTCTTAGAGACTAAGTGCCATCACGACTCCTGTGGTGGGATTTTGGGTCGTGACACTTTCTCTCTCCAACTCTATTTTGTTGGGGTTAATAAAGTACTGTTATAGGGTGACGAATTCCATGAGATTTACAAAAGACATTAAATTCTTTTGAAGTGAATTCGCCTCCTCTATCGGACCTTAAAGCTTTTATTTCATAGCCATTTTCTTTTTCTACAAGTATTTTGATATTTTTAAAAGTAGCAAAAACTTCAGATTTTTGGTTCAAGAAATAAACCCAAGTCTTTCTACTAAAGTCATCAATGAAAAGTAGAAAGTATTTACTTTTATCAAAGGAAGGTGGATTGATTGGTCCACACACATCAGTGTGAACAAGCTGAAGCGGCTTGGTTGATCTTGACATGGCCTCCTTTGAAAAACTCCTCCTTGCATGCTTTCCAAGAAGACAAGCTTCACACAATTGATTGGGATAGCTTACTAATGGCATCTCATGCACCATGTTCTTTTCTCCCATTGATTTGAGCGCTTCAAAATTTAAGTGCCCAAATCGCATGTGCCAACACCATGATTCATCTTGCACATTAGCCTTCAAATACTTTGCATCAATTGTCTTAAGATTCAGAGAGAATAATCTATTCTTAGTCATATGCACTTTAGTAATTAGAATTCCACTTGAATCTCTCAGCCAAATATGCATATTTTTCATGTGGATGTCATATTCCTTTTCAAGAAGTTGGCCCAAACTCAAAATATTACTTTTTAATTTTGGGACATAATAAACATCTTGAATTAACTTGTGACTACCATCTTTACAAGAGATCAGAGTCCTACATATCCCTTCAATTTGAATCTTTGAGGTATCTCCAAAGGACACATTACCTCTCACCGTTTTATTGATCTCCACAAACTTCTCTTTGCATCCACATATATGATTGCTTGCTATATTGTCCAAATACCACGAGCTGCAATCATCCTTGTCTTCTTCCTTGAGTGTCATCAACAGCGTTGACTCAACTTTTTCTTTCTTGTCGTCAACAAGGTTAGCTTTTTCTTCAACATTGCTATGATATTCCCAAGAGTAATGGCCAAATTTATGACAATTATAACACTCAATTTTTGATTTGTCATACCTTTGTCCATTATTTTTTTGGTAGTAGCCATGTCCTCTTTCTCCTCTATGTCCACGACCACGACCTCTGAATGTCTGGTGGATTTTAACTTCATTGTTGAAGTTGTTAGCGTTGCTTCTTCCTCTTTCATGACTGCCACGACCTCATCCCCGTCCATTCCCTCGATAGCTCTTTTCACCTCCATAATCTTTGAAGGATGCCTGAGTTTTAAGAAGTTGCTCCAATGGCACTTTTTGTCTCCTCTTGATCTTTTCTTCATGGGCCTGTAAAGAACCCTCCAATTGCTCTACCATCATAGAGTCTAAATCTTTAGACTCCTCAATAACACACACCACAAAATTAAATTTAGGTGTTAAAATGCGAAGGATCTTTTCTACCACACGGACATCTTTTATGTCCTCCTCATATCTTCTTAATTGATTTACAACAGCCTTCACTTTTGAACAATAATCTGAAATGCATTCGGATTCTTTCATTTTTAAAACTTCAAAATCAGCCGTTAGAGTTTGAAGTTTTACCTTCCTCACCTTGTCAACTCCTTGAAGAGAATTTTGTGAAATCTCCCAAGCTTCCTTTGAGGTGGTAGCATCTACCACCTTCTCGAACATGGCATCATCCAGATATTGATGGATGAGCGTGAGGGCTTGTTGATCCTTCTTCCTTGTCTTTTTCAAGACATCTTTTTTATTTTGAGGCAGAGCTTTCTCATTATCGGATTTTGCGTACCCTATATCTACGATTTCTCACACATCCTGAGAGCCAAGAATGGCTTTTATACGTAGACACCATTTTTCATAATTATCTTTTGTGAGACGGGGTACTGAAAAGACAGCGTACCATTATTTGTCATGGCTCTGATACCACGTTATTGGGAAAAATAATAATCCCGCCCAGGAATAATATCCACGATAAATAATAATAACACAAGAGAGTAATAACGTCACCAACTCTTTTAATATGTAAAATACAATACCCGAGTGGAGCAATATAACCACTATAATATTAAAACTTAGTAGTGTCAAGAGACTACTACAATCTTGAAAGAAATAACACTCTTTATTTAAAATACTTCACTACAATATTACTCACACTCACTATTTATCTCACAGACTACAATATGTAGATTACTCTCTCTAACTTCTATTGCTTCTCTCTTATTTTGGTGTGATTGAAATGAAGAATGGAGGCCTCTATTTATAGTAAGAGATGTCATTCAACTACTACAAATAAGATGTTTTGTTGTTGATTTAGTCCTATAATTTTTCAACAAAATTAGGCACCTCCCATTTTCTTCAATAAAGTTGTCAACAAAGTTAGGCACCTCCCATTTTCTTCAACAAAGTTGTCAACAAAGTTAGGCACCTCCCATTTTCTTCATTGTTTTTCTTTAATATGAGCCCCACATAGTATTGGGTATCCCATTAACCTATTGTTTCTTCATGTTCCAATTGTCTCTTCTCTTCTTCTTACAGATTTATTCATATATATTTTTTCTTATTGGTTACCCAGTTTCAGTTAATATAACTGAGTTGTGTGGATCAAAAATATTGTGGATTAGTGTTGTTTTGTACTAGGATCAGGTTTTTTCTCATGTTCCCTTCAAGACCTGTTTGGCAAAATTTCCCCGTGAAAAGTAGACCTGTTTGTGACGAAGATAAATGGGGTTCAAGACACAAGAGGCAATTTTTTTCTTTGAAACGATCATTGCTAGATTAAAACAGCTGAGTTATTTGCTCAGCCCCTCATTGTTGTGACCTTGTGTATAGTAAGTCCTAATTCTCTATACCATTGTTGCTTAGTTTCTGGATTTATGTTAATTTGCATAATAGACATAGGAATGATTGCTTAGTTTCTACAGCTCATTATCTGTTTTCTTCTTTCTTTATCTTTTTTGCTGACTCTTTAGTTCTGCTTTTGTTGCTTTCTTCTGGGATTATTGCAGCTTCAACCAATATCCAAAGAAGTTGTTAGCATCCGATTCTCACTTGAAAAAGGGGACCTATCCAAAGTGAGTGCTGAAAAGAGCAGGTTCTTTTTTTCCATTTTCCTTTATTATGCTATAATATCTCTCGCATAACATGTATACCGATTCATTCTAAGGTCATAGAGTAGAGAAAAGTGGAGTTAGCGTTCTTGAATGCCCTCAGTTACTCGTTGAATCATGCCTCAAACTATCAAATCTCTCTATTTATACTTACAGAGTATACAAATGAATTAAAAGTTGTGAGATAGAGTGAGATTATAATTGGTTGATATAGCCTCAATGGTACTCAGGATCTAGTTACCCCTAAGTATATATGTTCCCAATCATAATTGGTTGAAGGACAGGATATTTCTTAATGGTGAACTTAATCCTTTCATTCATTCTTTTTCGTTCAGATTCTAAGATGCTTGCTTTGCCATTTTGCATCTTTTTAGTTTGACGGTTTTATATGACCAATGAAACTGCACCAACACTATGGGGTGGCTTGAAAGTCTACCGATACAATGGCAAGTACACCGAGCATCGGACAATGGTTGATGCTTCATGCAACATTGATATAGAAGATGCTAAATTCGTGGAGTTCAATCCATAGCAATATGGAAAATTGACCGAGGAATAAGGCTGATACTAAATTTTAGTATGCACATTTGGATGTTGTGGTTGTGGGCTGACCTCCCTGTGTAAAAGGAATAGTTGTTTGTGTAATATGTACATTATAGCGCATTTTACAGTCATGTTTGAGGATTGTCGCTTTTCTCTTTTTATTTTTCCTCTTCTTGTTTGCTAGATAAGAGACCCGTTTTAGTTGAAAATAGGAAAAATTTCACATAAGAACAACTAGGTTCCCTATTTTTTAATTTTATAGCCCATATTTTAATTTACCCAACTAGCCCAAAAATAATTGGCTAAGATTCAACATTCAACTCCAATAAGTTCTCGAAATTATTATTTAATTTTTAAAAAAGATTGCTCAAGCTTTTAAGTTAATTTTCGAATAAGTAACTGTGACTCAAATATTAGTTCAACAAACAAAATCCATTTTGGTGGTGAAAATTAGATTTTTAACAAGCTTAAATATGTGGGTTTAAATTTCGAATTTGATTTTATGAGAAATTTGGAGTGAGTGTTATTTAGACTTGTTAGAAATAGTATAAGGAGGTTGTATATAAAATCTGAAGTCATTTAATGGAGATTTGGACGGGTTTTGAACAAGAATTGCAACTGAAAATCGTGGAAGAAGTTCGTCTACAAACACTTATATAAAGGTATATAAAAGTGTATAATAGTGTATAAGATATGTTTATACACTCTTATACACTATTATACAAGATTATACATAATTATACAAAAAAACTGACTTCGTCTTCTTCCTTGCGTCTTTTTCTGAAATTTAACTCAAATCTACTCCAAATCACTTCAAATTTAAATTTTGAACTCCTTTTGATATTTCCAATCAATTGGAACAACACCCAATCCAAATAACTAACAAACTCAAAAAATCTTATTTTCGAAAGCAAAGCTTTAAATGACCTTCAACGGTGGACTTCTACTCTTCAATTTTCTTACATTACAACCAGGTGATACAGGGGGAGAAGCGGTAATGGCGGACGGTCCCTTGAAGCATATATAGAAGATGTGAGAAGAAGAGAGAGTGAAAGCAATAGTTGTGAGAACACAAATTTAACTTCATAGCTTTTAAAAACAATGGTTGTAAGAACACAGATTTTGAATTTGCTAGTGTTTTCAAAATATGTACAATATGAGTTAGGTCGGTAAAACTTAAAAACATGGGTCATTTTTTGTTATGGTGTGTAAGTCACGTATATTTTCTTAGAATTCTTTCCTGAAAATCGACGTTATCCTATCAATATTAATAGGGACAACACAAACTCCTTAAATTATTGACTTTAATTGCAATCAAAAGCTAGAGAAATATTTTTGTAGACATGATTCAATTGATAAAACAGATCATGTTGTATCCACTTTTGTCTTCTATTTGCTGTTGTATTGGTGTAAAGGTTGTTCAGCATATTAAGGCCAGACACTGCTATTTTTGCCTCAATTATTCCAAAGATTCAAGGTTGCAGACGCAAGTTAGGAAAATGTTTTGGAGCAAATTGACCATTACTTTAGACCGTAAATTGTTAGAGCATGAGCAAAATTATCTGCTTATAATCTTTTGTTGCAAATAAAGATAATTTGGATATTTAAATGCCGTATAGCTATAGAATTTATAACGTATACAATTTGGATATTTAGATTTAACTTGTCATGACATATATATACGTGTGTGTATATATGTATGTAGATATATTTAAAAGATTCTTTTGTGAATCAAAAAATAATTTGGAGCCACTTAGAAGGAAATACCTTAGCCCATGCCCAAGTTCCCACTAGCGGGTTCGACGAACAAGGGCTTCTGACATAATTGGCCGCCCGGCCAAAATGTTTGACAATAGCTAGCCAATATTTAATACAACACTTTGTAGTCGAAAATACACTTACATCGGCTAACATGTGAAAACTGAAACTCAGCGAGTAGTTTGAACACATGAAATCTCTTTTCCAGAATCACTTAAAGGGCTTAAAACTACAAATGCTGATCCAATTTTTGGTACAAACCGAATTTAAGTAGAAAAATAAATGGTTCAGATTGCAACTCTTTTTCATTCTCTGTTACCTCAAGTTTCCTTCATCACCCACTTCCAATACTCAAATCTCCATAGGCTTTCACCCATTTCTTTATCCAACACACTTTCTAACACTTTTTTTCTTTTTAAACATATATGTTCATCCCTCCCTATATTACAATAAATATTATAATTTCGACTATAATTTAAAATGTATTCTTCGAGTGTTAGAAGTTTGGGGATGAGAATTTGATTTTCAAAGTTTGATTGCAGATGAAGAAAATAAGAATAAAACCAGGTCAGTGCATAAACAACTTTTATAAATTATGTAAATAATGTATACACTCAAGAGACACAATACATTTGAAATACACTAAAAATACATTGTCAAACTCAGAAAATACTGTATATAAAATATTTATATACTACATAACAGTAAATATACACCTTCTATACATATTTAATGGTTATATCCAATTTTTATACAAAAATACATTTGCAAAATATGTATCATTTGTGTATAAATTATGTATAAAAATGTATATACACTTTTATACATCGTGGAGCAAAATGTACATTTTTCTTACATCGTAAAACAGTCTATACACTTCAGATATACAAAGGTGCTCAGGATACACTAATGATATATTAGGGATACGATACAATGAAAAATGAAGGGTACACTTTATATATAAATTTTAGACTATATATAATAGTGTATATACAATTTCTATATAGTATCTAATAATCTATATACATTTTTATAAGCACATTGTTATACATAATGCAATACATATACATATAACAATGTAAATACAATTTTTATATATGTATTGTGTATATACAACTTTATATGAAATTATACTTGTAACTTCCAACCACCATTAAAATCTCAACCCACTACCAATACCCACTTTAAAAGTTCTTTACTTACAAAACACCACTTGGACCCGAAAAAGAAAAAAAAAAGATAATGAAAAAGAAGAAATAATCACATGTATAAAAATAGACTGTCACTATACAAAATAGACTATTACTATACAAAATATATATTAAATAGACTGTCACTATACAAAATATATACTAAATAGACTGTCACTATACAAAATATATACAAAATAGACTATTACTATACAAAATATATACTAAATAGACTGTCACTATACAAAATATATACAAAATAGACTGTCGCTATACAAAAATTATACAAAATAGGCTGTCACTGTACAATTTTTATACAAGAGACTGTCACTATACAAAAAATATATTAAATAGACTATCACTATACAACATATATACAAAATAGATTGTTACTATAAAAAAAAATATACAAAATAGATTGTCTGTTTGTCACTATACAAAAAATACACTAAATAGACTGTCACTATACAATTTATATACAATAAACTGTCACTATACAAAATATATACAAAATAGACTGTCACTATACAAAAATTATACAAAATAGACTGTCACTGTATAATTTTTATGCAATAGACTGTCACTATACAAAAAATATACTAAATAGACTGTCACTATACAAAATATATACAAAATAGACTGTCACTATACAAAATATATACAAAATAGACTGTCACTATACAAAAAATATACAAAATAGACTGTCATTATACAATTTATATACAATAGACTGTCACTATACAAAAATTATACAAAATAGATTGTCACTGTATAATTTTTATACAATAGACTGTTACTATACAAAAAATATACTAAATAGACTGTCACTATACAAAATATATACAAAATAGACTGTCACTATACAAAAAAAATATACTAAATAGACTATCACTATACAAAAAATATACTAAATAGACTGTCACTATACAAAATATATACAAAATAGACTGTCACTATACAAAAAAAATATACTAAATAGACTATCACTATACAAAAAATATACTAAATAGACTGTCATTATATAAAAAAATATATAAAATAGACATTTCGGGTTACTAGATGTAATATGTTTGGGGCGGAGAGTCATTTCGGGTCAATAGAAAAAAACATGGGCTATTAAAATTTTGAGGGGCTATAGAGTGTAATTTTCTCGACGAACAACTAGCAAAATTGACCCAAATCCAAATTCAAATCCACTTTTGTTATTTTATCTTGTAGTCATGCTAGTTCCGAATACAGTTATTTTATGCTGTACGATGCTCCTATTTTTCTATGATTAACATTAATTCTCCATTTATCAATGGCATCAGTAGGGGGACTTTAATTTCAAAAACATTTCCCCGTAAGTTAGCAAAAATATCAATAAAGCACATTTTGATAGGAGGAACTCTTGGCAGATCACGTCTCTCCAGAATTCCAAAATTGATTAATGTAGATATTATTGGATGAAGAAAGGATTCTCAATTTACTTCATACTCAATAGTACTTCCCACGGATTCTTTTATGTTTGAGTTGAGTTTGGGCCTTAGATTGGGATAGGCTGGCTTCCAACAAGCTCTTGTTGGACCTCAACAGTTCAATACCCGCAAGGCCGCAAAGTAGCTCGAGAAATTGGGAGATTTTCTTATGTATACTATAATAGAAACTTATTTATCTATTTTCTCTAGGTTTTGTAGTTTTTAAAAAGTATTTAGGTTTTTTTTACAAACTGTATATATTCTCCCTTAAAAAGCTCTCACCCCATTATTAGCACCTTCAATTAAGGAATTGAATTATATCCTTTCCTTTTTTTTCTCTACTCCCCTCCCTCCCTTTTCTTCTACGCAGATCTGGAAGCAACTTCTTCTTCCAATATTATTTTACTAAATTCTTTATTTTAATTTTTCGAAAACTCTATACAAGCTAGACACTCGCTTCTGGTATAAGAAGCCACAAGAAAAATACAAATGGACAAAAAAAGTCTTGAACCAAAAAAGAAGCCATACTCCCCATAGAAATGGAATCAAGGAAATTGTTATTTTTTGTACGATAACATTTTCGATCCAATACAATTTTGAAGATCCATCACAGTAATTATAGGAAATCTAAAAATTTTCTACCTATACACGTTACTACTCTAAAAATTAATATAATTCTGACACAAGATTGTACTTGTATCAGTGTTGTATCAAG